TAAAGGCTTAGGAATAGCTATAGTGGTAGTGGTAGGTATAGCTTACAATGATGATATGACCATGAAATAATTCGTGTGAACAGCAGGTTTACTTTTTCCACTAAAGCTTGTTAGGCATATTTCAACGTTAGTTTGTGGTTGTTAACCATTTTTCTACCTTGGCTAGTTAGATGGTGTGAAAGAGAGACAGAGAGGAGAGAGAGAGAGAGAGAGGAAACATATTTGTACAAGAACTATAAGAACATTTCCTTAAGATCGTAGTCATGATTTAAAGACAATGAGGAAACATAAACTATTGGTACGTGCTCCCTTCTGTGAAAGTAACACTTATTATGGGATTTTTAATAAAAGTTTTTTTTTAGTTTCTTTTTTGATCATGCATACTTGTTCGAGTAAATATGTTCTGCTGCTTTTGCTGGTATGACAGTGAAACGATTAGACAAAATCATAAACATTAAATCACAGCACTGCCACAGCAGCATTGAACGAAAAAATAGTAGGAAATTGAATACTAATTGGCACCCTACCGTAACTGTCATAACTTGTTTGAATAGTCAGAGAAATGTTTGCTAAAGACTTAAGATATTTTGGTTAAAATAAAATTAACTTAAATGCCAAATGATTGCAGCAATTGAGATTTGTTTGAAAGAGAAACTAATCTTTGGAATTTCATGTGTTGCCACCAGTGTTGCCAACATTGGTCAAGCAAAACGCGCGCAAAAAAATTAAAAAGGGGTAAAAAAGCGTAATTTTCTAACTGAAAATGGGTAAAAAAGCACTAACGTTTTTTAGTCAAATATTGTTTATTTTAATAAAAATTGCACATTATTTCGCTCATTTCCTACAAGACTCCAAAATTCGTTTTTTAGAACATTGACTACAAAACAAAACATGCGTCATACTAAAGTCTTTCATCTGTGTGAGTTAGATTTTTAGTAACGTAAGAACTAAAACTAATGTTTGACGAATATTAGATAAATAAGATGAGAAATTTTCAAATTCCTTAATTTGTTTAAAAGTTATTTTAAAAATAGTAAAATGTCATTAAACATTCAAACTGACAGGCACACTACCAACTGGCGAACCGATGTAACCACACCCAAATTGTAAAATTGTACAAAACTTATGAAATATATTTTTTTTGCAAAATCTATATATATTATTTTTAAGTTTTTTGAGTTCTGGAAAAATTTTTAATTTCACTGATAGTGAATAACATAACTTATTTTAACGTATTTTGAATATTTTGTTTTTTGTTTATGAAGAATATTTGCTTTTAAAACTTAACACAAATAAAAAAAAACTTTAGAGCACCCGTGTAAAAAAATATAAAACAGTTTTTAAGAAAAATTTAGTCCTTAGTGTAAACTATTAAACTGATCGTATTCTAATAAACAACAAAAAGTGGTACAAATAGAAAGATCAAAGAATGATCCCTCAGTTTTCTTAACATTATAGAGAAAATGTTTAATATTAATTAAATAAATTACCTCCTGAAATTCACAATTATTTTGAAATATTTTAACAAGTAAGAGTGTTATATTCGGCTGTGCCGAATCTTATATACCCACCATCAAATCTTATGACGTAAAAGGAATGCTTCTCTGTAAACATCAGGGAGATAATGCTTAATTCAATTATGTACGTGATCTTCGAATTAACAAAATATTCATTTTTAAAAACAATATATATATATATCAGAGGTAGTGTCAATTATGAACTGTTTGTCGTAAAATTTGGTAGAAAGACTTCGTATAACACTTATTCGTTTCGAATTTCATTGCTGATCTCGAATTTTTAATTCAGACATAAGCGTAAAAGTTATTATCTAAAGGGGAACTTATATGGGGTTGGGACAATTATATATCGATACCCATAAAATTTTGTACATAGATTTTGTTGGTCAGTTATATCGTCATAAAATTCGGAATAAAGAATTATAATAAAAATCTTTTTATTGCGAGTACAACGATGAAGTAATCATGGAGGCTTTATATATTAGGGATAGGTTCAATTGTGTAAAAAAATTGTATAAAACTTATTTTTTGTCAATTTTCATCGCTGTACTCATATTTTTAAGGGGACCTTAATAGGGGGTAGGGTAGGTTACCGAAAAATCCGAATTAAATTCGGTAGGAAGATTACGTTTGTATAAAAGTTGTTTATTTCGAATTTCTCCGCTATACTCGTATTTTTAAGTCAGTAAAGAGCGTTAAAATCAATTTTTGAAGGTGACCATATGTGGGGGTAGGGTCAATTATGGACCGATTGCCGTAAAATTTGCTAGAGAGATTTTGGCTTATATAAAACATATTTATGTCGAATATTTTTAAGTCGGTAATGAGTATTAATGTCATTTGGTAGAGAAATTTTGATGCATATAAAAGTTACTTATGTTGAATTTCAACGCTGCACTCATAGGGAGACCTTATTTGGGGGTAAGGTCAGTTATGGACCAATTCCCATAAAATTTGGTAGAGACATTTTGCCTTATATAAAACTTATTTATGCCGAATTTCATCGCTATACTCGTATTTTTAAGTCAGTAATGACCGTTTAAATCATTTTCTGAAGGAGACCTTATATGGGGGGTAGGCTCAATTATAGACCTATTTCTATAAAATTTAGTAGAGATTTTGGCTTATATAAAACTTACTTATGTTGAATTTCATCGCTATACTCGTATGGGGGGTAGGGTCAATTTTGGACCGATTCCCATAAAATTTGGTACAGAGATTTTGACGCATATAAAACTTATTTATGCCAAATTTTATCGCTATACTCGTATGTTTAAAACAGTTGTGACTGTTAAAGCTGTTTTTCGGGGGGTCACTTGTATGGGGGATATGCGAAATTGCGGACCCATATTGCCCATTTGCCATACCAAACAAACCTTACCTATAAGAAATATTTGTGGAAAAATTTAACTCGCTTGCTCTTTCCGATCTAACCCTATCGTGCTTTCAACAGACAGACGGACGGACAGATGAACAGACGGATGGACATGGTTAGATCGGCTTAGAATTTAATAAGGACCCAAAATATATATACTTTTGTGGGTCTACGACCAATATTTCGATGTGTTACAAACGGAGTGACAAAATCAATATACCCCACTCATCTTTTTTGATGGTGGGTATAAAAAGCACTAAATGCACTGTCATAAAATTAGAAAGCACCACTGTAGTGCCTTTTTGAAAAAAGGCACCATGAGCAAAATTTTCCGCGTTTGGCACACCAAAAGGCACCGCAAATAGTGCTAAAAGCACTAAGTTGGCAACACTGGTTGCCACAGTATTTTTCATAGTATTTAACTTCGCTCTCTTTTAAGATCAATTTTGTCTCAAATTTTTTAAGATCAATTTTATCTCAAATGTTTCAAAAACTAAGTTTCGATATCTTTGATTTGATTAAATGCTAATAGCGAAATTATTTCAGTTTAGAAGTAGAGAGTAGATCTGCCTTAATCACTCTCTATGTATCTTTCCAAAAATTAGCACTTCTCTCTATCTCTCTTCTTAAAAATCATTTATCTTATATTTTTATTCCCACGCAGACAGAAGATCCTTCCATACTTAAGATCAATTGGTTTCGGAATGAAGATCGTGATATATGAGTTTATAAGTTCCTCCCACACTTCTTCTTTATATTGATTTCTTTCCCATAGATTTCGAACTGTAGATTATGGCTTTAATATCTCTCTCTTTCTCTTTCTCGTTCTCTCTCTCTCTTTCTTTCTCTTACACTAGCTTCCTCTTGTTACTTCTGTTTCAGGGTGGAGAGTATAGCTGCACTAAATTCTAGCTATTTCGCACCACTCTTTCTGTCCATTTGTTCTAATACTTTAATTATTATCTTTAGAATAGAAAACATTTCAATACTTCTCTCTGTACCACTCTTCCTGACAATCATTTATCACAGAAGATCTTTCCATATAAAAGATCAATTGGTTTCGGAATGAAGACCATGACATATAAGTTTACAAGTCCCTCCCACACTTTCTCTTTTTATTGATTTCTTTCCCTTTGATTTCTCGCTTCTATCGATCGCTCTCTTTTCGCATTTTCTCTTACTTTCTTTTTCTCACACTAGCTTTCTCTTGTTACTTCAGTTTCAGGTTTGAATAGCACTAAATCTTAACTCTTTTCTTACTCTCACTATCTCTGTCTCTTTCATGCAATCCTTTAATGTTCATTTTTAGAATAGAAAACAATTCCGTACTTCTCTTTCTCTCTACCTCTCTTCCTGACAGATCAATTGGTTTTGTAATGAAGATCATGACATATAAGTTTATAAGTCCCTCCCACACTCTCCCTTCTTTTGATTTCGAATTATCGATTATGGCTTCGATCGATCTCTCTCTTTCTCCCATCCACAATTTATCTTTGGTTTTGGAATGAAGATAATGACATATAAGTCCATCCCACATTTTCTATTTTTATTGATTTCTTTGCATTCGATTTTAGATTGTAGATTATGTCTTCGATCAATCCTTCTCTTTCTCACTTCCACACTTCCCTTTTCCCACATTCTGTTTCTCTCTCCCACATTTTCTATTTTTATTGATTTCTTTGCATTCGATTTCAGATTGTAGATTATGTCTTCGATCAATCCTTCTCTTTCTCACTTCCCTTATGTACATAATTTGTGATTTGTAGTGCCCAAAAAGTTCGGTCAAAATCTGATCACATATAACGCTAAATCCCATATTGACTCCTACTTTAATATTCGACGATAGAGTTCTACTATAGAGAAGTCTGAAGCCCCTTAAGCTCTAAAATCTCGTAACATTATCACGATTTACGATTCAACATTAACAGGTTCTATATACATCGCACCATTATAAGTCTACTGTTCTATATTGGAGCAGCAGTATAGTGTGTCATATGTAAATCAAGTTTGACTTTAATTCTTAATTGTTTTTGTATAAAATTTCTAATTTTTATATTCTTCTCTCTTACTCAATAAAATATCTTTTCGATCTATATTTGTTTTTCCAGCCCGAGACTGTACCACAAGCCTGTATTGATATGACCAAAGTTTTAGAGGTAACCACAGCCGAAGATGTAACCGGTCATACAAATTCGATTGCCATAACGGCTCCCGATCGTGTTACATTCGTCAAAGGTACCTGTCCGGAAGAATCAAAATGGTGGCTTAACACCTTGGCAGCGTTTCCCAAATCAAAGGGACGTCACAAACGTAATGCCACATTTCCGGGTGCCCAAGCTACCACAATATTACAATCAACTAATTCCGATGCAGCTAACGTTAATGCAACAACACGTAATCGTCATAATTCCTATCATAAGGATATTTTAACGTCCACCCAATCAACTGGTGTTTTAGCTTCAACTACCGTTTCGACGTCGTCATCAACAACAACAACATCATCATCAGCAGCAGCTACGACAGCAAACGCAGCGGCAATGGCGTCAAAACAAGAGAAAAAATCATCGTCAGGCATCAAGAGCAACGGTAGTTCAAAATTATGGTCGCATAATGATGTTGTTGTTACAACAAAACCGACAATAACGACTAGTAAAAATGCTGCAGGCATTAAAAATAATCATAATGTTGGTCTACGAAATGTTGCTGCTGTCAATAATAACAATGTCGATGATGATGACGATGATGACGAAAATGAGGAAGATGATGCTGATGAAGAAGATGATGGTGTTGAAACGGGTGAGGATGATGAGGAAGATGAGTGTGATGAAGAGGAAGAAAGTGGTAACTCAACGGGTGAGGAATGTAATACCAAAAAGAAATGTTCAATGGCTGGAACAAGTGTTCATGATGAAAATAATCGTAATGCTGTTAATGAAATTAAAAATAGAGGTAAGTTACAATTTTTTTCAAAAATTTATGAGATATTAACATATTTTCAAATGATTTAAAATTGTTTTATTTAAATATTTATTGTTCTCAATTAATGTTTAAATGTGCGTGTTTAATGTATATTTATTTTTAATTCTATACACTTAATTTATCATAAATTTGTCATGGTCTTTGTCTATGATTTTTTTATTAAATTTCTTTTAAAAATTTATTATAAATTCAATTTATATTTATTTTTATGAACTCAATTAAATTCAATCACTATAAAGCTTTTAATTTGTTATGACGCGTTTATTTTAGATTTTTTTCTTTCAAATTTAAGCCAAAAAAAATGTGTTAAATGAATAAACCAAAATTTTTAATATTTTTTTTTTTCTTCATACATATGAATAATAAATTTAAAAAAAATATGTCAAAAAACTAACCTGCAAAAAAATCATAACACACGTCCATTGTATACACAACCAAACACATAACAAGCATAAAATTTATTAAGAGATCAATCACCTTTTTTTTGTACAATAGTGAACGTTTACTTTTTATTTCATCGACTAATTTTTGGACCAGTGTGAATGGACTTGTAGTTATATGCCACATACTGGCCATGACATTAAAACGTTCGAATTGTAAGAAAATACATAAAAAATTGGGCAACAATCTCTGACAAATCTTACAAAAGTCGACATATAAAGATGTTTGTACCAATGTTGTTTTTGCTGGAGTTAACATTTTTTTGGGAGATTTTTTCACCGATTTCTTATGTAAAGTTTTAACATCCAGTTTACTATAAACAACCCAATAGTCGAGACTATAGACAACTATATAGTCGAGGCTATGGAATGATCCCTATAGTCAATACTATAGAACACTCTATAGTCAACACTCTAGACTTCTATATAGTCAAGAATATAGACTACTCTATAACCAAGGCTATGTACTACAATATAGTGAAGACTATAGACCACTCTATAGTCAAGAATACAGACTACTCTATAGTCAATACTATAGACCACTCTATAGTCAAGACTATAAACCACTCTATAGTCAAGACTATAGAATACTTTATAGGCAAGACTATAGACTGCTATATAGTCAAGACTATAGACTACTCTATAGTCAAGACTATAGACTACTCTATAGTGAAGAATATATACTATTCTATAACCAAGGCTATGTACTACTCTATAGTCCAGACTATAGACTACTCTATAGTCAAGACTACAAACTACTCTATAGTCAAAACTTTAGACTACTCTATAGTCAAGACTATAAACTACTCTTTAGTGAAGACTATAGACTACTCTATAGTCAAGACTATAGACTACTCTATAGTCAAGACTATAGACAACTCTATAGTCAAGACTACAGACTACTCTATAGTCAAGACTATAGACCAATCTTTAGTGAAGACTACAGACTACTCTAAGGCTATGTACTACTCTATAGTCCAGACTATAGACTACTCTATAGTCAAGAGTACAAACTACTCTATAGTCAAAACTTTAGACTACTCTATAGTCAAGACTATAGACTACTCTTTAGTGAAGACTATAGACTACTCTATAGTCAAGACTATAGACTACTCTATAGTCAAGACTATAGACTACTCTATAGTCAAGACTATAGACTACTCTATAGTCAAGACTATAGACTACTCTATAGTCAAGACTATAGACTACTCTATAGTCAAGATTATAGACTACTCTATAGTCAAGACTATAGACTACTCTAAAGTCAAGACTATAGACTACTCTATAGTCTAGACTATAGCCCACTCTATGGTCTAGATTATAGTATACTCTATAGTCAAGAATATAGACTACTCTATAGTCAAGACTTTAGAGTAGTATATAGTCTTGACTATAAAATAGTCAAGTCCATAGAATACTTTATGGTCAGTACTATAGACTGCTATATAGTCAAGACTATAGACTACTATATAATCAATACTATAGAATACTTTATAGTCAAGACTATAGACTGCTATATATTCAAGACTATAGAGCACTCTATAGTCAAGATTATAGACTACTCTGTAGTCTAGACTATAGACATATAGTAGTCTATAGTAAGACAAATACTACTCTATAGTCAAGACTATAGACTAGTCTATAGTTAAGACTATAGACTACTCTATTGTCAAGACTATAGACTACTCTATAGTCAAGACTATAGATTACTATATAGTCAGACTATAGACTATTCTATAGTCAATATAATAGACTACTCTATAGTCAATACTATAGACTAATCTATACTCAAAACTATTGACTACTCTATAGTCAAGACTATAGACTACTCTGTAGTCGTGACTATAGACTACTCTGTAGTCGTGACTATAAACTATCACCACTAGTACTCTTGATCATTTATCAGTACATTTTTTTTGTTGTTCTTTTTGATCTCCCCATATAATCTTCTTTGTTTGCAAATTTAAAATGAACTAAAAATGTCATCAATTGTTGTAATGTACTATATGAACATCTGAATTGATGATAGTGCTATTCTTCATTTTAAATGTCAATTTAATTTTATAAAAGCAAAAATTATTTATCATTTTTCTTTTCTACCATAGAAGAATGTAAATGTAAAGAATTTAAAGAAATAAACAAATTTCTCATGAATGACGAGACCGAACCCATTGAAAATAATTGACATTGATCAAAGATGACAGCTAAGGGTATGTGTTTAATTGGCACAAAATCATCATTATGAGTTTATTAACATTTAGTAGTTGTAGACGTTATAAACAATTGAAAAAAGAAATACTTAATAATATTATGATAGGTTGGCAAAGAAAAGTGTAAAGTTTATGGATAATGACGTTTGTAGGCGATGATGGTGCTATTTAAAGGTGCTGGAGACCTTCAATTTAAAGAAGTATAAAACTTTTTTAATAAATATGAAAATGTTTATAGTCTAGTCTACAGTCTAGCCCATAGTTTAGTTTATAGTCTAGTTTATAAAATAGTCTATAGTCTTGTCTATAGTCTAGTCCATGGTCTTGTCTATAGTCTAGTGCATAGTCTAGTCTATGGTCTAGTCTATAGTCTAATCGATAGTCTAGTCTATGGTCTAGTCTATAGCCTAGTCTATAGTCTAGTCTATGTTCTAATCTATAGTCTAGTATATATTCTGTTCTCTAGTCTATATTCTAGTCTAGTCTATAGTCTAGTTTTTATTATAGTCTATATTCTAGTCTAGTCTATAGTCTAGTTTTTATTATAGTCTATATTCTAGTCTATAGTCTAGTCTATATTCTAGTCTATAGTCTAGTCTATAGTCTAGTCTATAGTCTATGCTATAGTCTACTGCTATAGTCTATGCTGTAGTCTAGTCTATAGTCTAGTCTATAGTCAAGCCTATGGTCTAATCTATAGTCTAGCCTATAGTCTAATCTATAGTCTATGCTATAGTCTACTGCTATAGTCTATGCTGTAGTCTAGTTTATAGAATAGTCTATAGTCTAGTCTACAGTCTTGCCTATAGTCTAGTCCATAGTCTAGTCTATAGTCGAATCTACAATCTGGTCTAGTTTAGTTTATGGTCTATTTTATAATCTACTTTAGTCAATAGTTAAGTCTGTAGTCCAGTCTATAGTCTAGTGTATTGTCTAGTCTATAGTCTAGTCTATAGTCTAGTGTATTGTCTAGTCTATAGTCTAGTCTATAGTGTAGTGTATTGTCTAGCCTATTGTCTAGTCTATTGTCCAGTCTATAGTCTAGTCTATAGTCTAGTCTATAGTCTAGTCTATAGTCTAGTCTATAGTCTAGTCTATAGTCTGGTCTATACTCTAGTCTATAGTCTAGTCTATACTCTAGTCTATAGTCTAGTCTATAGTCTAGTCTATAGTCCAGTCTAGTCTAGTTTATAGTCTAGTCTATAGTCTAGTCTATAGTCTAGTCTATAGTCTAGTCTATAGTCTAGTCTATAGTCTAGTCTATAGTCTAGTCTATAGTCTAGTCTATAGTCTAGTCTATAGTCTAGTCTATAGTCTAGTCTATAGTCTAGTCTATAGTCTAGTCTATAGTCTAGTCTATAGTCTAGTCTATAGTCTAGTCTATAGTCTAGTCTATAGTCTAGTCTATAGTCTAGTCTATAGTCTAGTCTATAGTCTAGTCTATAGTCTAGTCTATAGTCTAGTCTATAGTCTAGTCTATAGTCTAGTCTATAGTCTAGTCTATAGTCTAGTCTATAGTCTAGTCTATAGTCTAGTCTAGTCTAGTCTAGTCTATAGTCTAGTCTATAGTCTAGTCTATAGTCTAGTCTATAGTCTAGTCTATAGTCTAGTCTATAGTCTAGTCTATAGTCTAGTCTATAGTCTAGTCTATAGTCTAGTCTATAGTCTAGTCTATAGTCTAGTCTATAGTCTAGTCTATAGTCTAGTCTAGTCTAGTCTATAGTCTAGTCTATAGTCTATAGTCTAGTCTATAGTCTAGTCTATAGTCTAGTCTATAGTCTAGTCTATAGTCTAGTCTATAGTCTAGTCTATAGTCTAGTCTATAGTCTAGTCTATAGTCTAGTCTATAGTCTAGTCTATAGTCTAGTCTATAGTCTAGTCTATAGTCTAGTCCTATAGTCTAGTCTATAGTCTAGTCTATAGTCTAGTCTTATAGTCTAGTCTATAGTCTAGTCTATAGTTCTAGTCTATGTCTAGTCTAGTCTAGTCTATAGTCTAGTCTATAGTCGATAGGTCTATAGTCTAGTCTATAAGTACTAGTCTATAGTCTAGTCATAGTCTATAAGTCCTAGTCTATAGTCTAGTCATATCTAGTTCTTAGTCTATAGTCTAGAGTCTATAGTCTAGTCTAGAGTCTATCTATAGGTCCTAGTTCTATAGTCTAGTCTATAGTCTAGTCTATAGTCTAGTCTATAGTCTAGTCTTAAGTCGAGTCGATATTCTAGTCTATAGTCTAGTAGTCTATGTCTATGTCTAGTATCTAGTCTAGATCTATAGTTCTAGTCTAGTCTATCTAGATCGTAGTATTAGTCTAGTCTATAGTCTATGTCTATATTCTAGTCTATAGTCTAGTCTTGTCTATAGTCTAGTCTATAGTCTAGTCTATAGTCTAGTCTATAGTCTAGTCTATA